CAATTTTCTTTTTTACATATTTACACACATATAATAGGCTGGCATATTTGCAGCTGCTTTGTTCACTATAGCAAGAAAATGGAATCAACGCCTTTTGAATCAATTTTAAGACTATGGTAGAGAAGCTGTCAATTAAAACCCTTTCTTTCTGAGCACAAGGCTAAAGGTCCTTCTTCCAGCTGTCTTGCTACATATCACCCTGAGACTGACCATGCTCTCACAAAGGAACACAATGCAAGTAACCATTCCAGATTGGTCCTGAGGACATGGAAGCATGTACTTATCTCAAAGATTTCTTTTTAGTAACTCAATAACTCAGTGAAAAAGATAAACTGTTTATGTTTGTATATGTGTTGGGGGAGGTGTTTGTTTTTCTTTTCGAAAAAAGAGTTTCTCTGTGTTGCCCTGGCTGTCCTAGAATTCACTTAGTAGACCAGGCTGGCCTAGAACTCAAAAACATGCACCTGTTGCCTGCCTCTACCTCCCTGCTGGGATTAGAGGTGTGCATCACCATCACTTTGCTGGTAAGCTGATTTTGATCTCAAAGATAACAGCATTGCCCCCACAGAATGCATCCAACTAAACAGAAAGCTCTTAGTTCCAGATAGACATGAAGACCAAACTTTTCACAAATTGAAGCAGTCATCTGAAATCTTTAAAATCTTCCTCTTTCACAGTGCTGAGTTTTTGAAGCATGAATGTGCATATGCCACACAAGTATTTTACTACCGAGCTACATTCTCAGCCCTTCACATTTGTTTATTTTTATTTTTTTTTTACTTTGAAACATGCTCTTTGTCTTAGTTATGGTTTCCATTACTGTGAAGAGACACCATAAACATGCATCTAGGCATCTAGGTGCAGCATCTAGGCAGGCACGGTACAGGAGGAGCTGAGAGCTCTACATCTTCATCTGAAGACCACTAGGAGAAGACTGTCTTCCAGGCAGCTAGGAGAAGGATCTCAAAGCCCACCCACAAAGTGGCACACTTAGTTCAACAGGGCCACACCTCCTAATTAGTGCCACTCCCAGGGCCAAGCATATTCAAACCACCACAATGGTGACCAAAGGCTGGCCTGGAAATCTCTGTTGCTTAAGAGTCAATGATGTCATAAGATAAGCACTGTTCTTTCAGTCACATATATGTTAGTACTTTTAATCTTCTTACCAACTGTAGGCTGTAGTTACTATTACTGGCTCAATTTTAGGTTTATTAGATGGCAATCACTAATGGTAAATGATAACCACTGTATTAATAGAAATCTAAGACTCACAGGCCAGAATTACATAAAAATGGACTGAATGTGGAGGCAAGTCTAAAAAACTGGCCTCCCGGGTCTCATTGTTTAAAACATGATCTCCCAGCAGTGTCTACATTCTTTAAGCCTCTATATTTAAGTAGGTCACAGTTTCAATTTACTTAATGTGATCTTAAACATATAGGGATTTAAATCCCAAAGGGGGATTCTATACGACTTTAAGTCCCCGCTCAAAGGAGGGTTGGGACTTTGATGTGTCACACAGCTACAAAACTGGAAGTCCTTGCTTTGCCATCGCAAAAGAGTCAGTAAAACTGTTTCCTGCCATGACTAGAGAGGCTGGCCACTCCTACAGAGACTGGTGCTAATGGTTGTCAGTCTGCCTGATGCTTTTCGTCAGATGACAGCGAGAAAGCTATGGACTCAGCTAAGACCTGATGAGGATAGAGGAAAAATCCAAACTGGAGCTTTAGCTCAGGGTTAAAGTAGTTGGTTAGCATGTACAAGGCCCTGAGGACATGCCTCAGTGCTATAACATAAATAATAAAAAATAAAACAATAAAAAGCTTTAAAACTAAAAAAAAAAAACTAGACAAAATATCCAAAGTAAAAATTTGATTCAGTATCTCAATAGCAGGAAGTACTATTGTGACAGCTCACACCCTTCTCAGTGTCTCCCAGTTAGGAAAATCAGGGTCTATAGTGCTGTGCACCACGACAGCAAAGTTTCTCCTTCTTTGAGCTCCTTTATTCAGGCAGTCTCCAAGGACAGAATTTAAATGAGGAAGTGAGAAATGGATCATGGGAACCAGGAAGTTAAGTCAGAGCTGTGCTCTGAAATGAAATCTGGGTGTCATTTTTGGCATAGACGCTAACAGGAAGTAAATAGGCTAGAACCTATTAAGTTTCCAAGGTATTTGCATTTCAAAAGCAACCAGAAGGAAGGTCAGCCTAAAAAATGTTCTGACTCTCACACTGGGATTTGTGGAAAGCAGGTCAATAAAATTACAGCCTTTCCAAGACCCGACTGAGATTTGGCCTTGAGGCCTGAAGGACTGGAAAGAATCTAGAATTTTGCAACTTCAGAGAACCTTGGAGAATTGATAATGGCTAGGACGAGAGCCCTTCAGTCTAATCTGCAGGTCCTGTAGGCTGTTGAATATACTCATTTTTATATATTATTAAAAGTGACCATTGCAGGTCTAGAGATCACACTTAACTATTGCAGTTTGGACACACTGTTGAAGAGGTTTCTTCCTCCTAGGCTTGTGCCTTCAGCCACATCTGGACCTAATCCAGACATTAGAACATGATAGATTGATTTTTGTACTTTGTGCTGCAGGTAGGAATTAAATGGAGCTTGGGGAAAAATGAAGAATTGAATGTGTGAGATGCAGATGAATTATTCACTAAAATTTATTCTACACCTCTTAAGCATATTTCTCTCTAGTTGTATGACACCCATTTCTCTTGGCTGTCAGTTAGGTATGGCTTTTTGATTAACATTGAGTGCTGGGAAGGGAGCAGAAGTGATGGATACCATTCCTGGTTGTGATGGTTTGTATGTGCTCGGCCCAGGGAGTGGCACTATTAGGAGGTGTGGCCTTGTTTAGTAGATGTGTCACTGTGGGTATGGACTTTAATATCCTGGTCCTAGCTGCCTGGAAGTCAGTGTTCTGCTAGCAGCCTTGAGATAAAGATGTAGACCTCTGAGCTCCTCTTGCACCGTTCCTGCCTGGATGCTGCCATGCTCCTGCCTTGATGATACTGGACTGAATCTCTGAATCTGTAAGCCAGCCCCAATAAAATGTTGTCCCTATAACAGTTTCGTTAGTCATGGTGTCTGTTCATAGCAGTAAAACCTTAACTAAGACACTAGTTCTGGGTTTTATTGTTTCTTGACACTTTTTCTCTTTTTTTCCTTCCATCTTGATGGACCACAGATGTGGCTTCCACCATGCAGGTAACCTTGATTATCTATGGATTGGATCATAGCAGTAGCATGAAGAAGACCATGTATTGTAAACGTTACACTGTGGTGGACTCCCTCGATGACCTGTGGCATCCTCCTATCTTCTAATTTTTAGTAAGGAGGATAAATAAGAAGAGTGAGATCAAAACTGAGTGTGATGTCACGTGCTTGTAACTCCTGAACTGGTAGAGGTGACGTGGGAAGATGATGAGAGTGAAAGACTAGCCTGAGCTAAACAGTGAGGCTATCTCAAAACAAATAAAGAAAGAAAATAAACATAATTGTTCCATGATCTCTGTATTGGGTGGCCACATGTCAGATAAATGTTTTCACGGATGGCTGCTTCTATATTTGTTGAGAGAGTCTTTACTTCAATTGTCCCCTTTCAATTAAGTAACTGTTTCTGCAAATACGGTTGCAAAACCCAGGGAAGGAAAGAGTTTCTGGACTTTCATCCTCTCACTTTACCCTACCCATTGAAGTATCTTATGGGCAGATTGGTACCCATAGGGGGTTTCCCCATCTCTCAAGAGAAGAGCAGGAGGAGAATGAGGGGAGGAGGTGTGTGAAGCTGGAACTGGGAGGAGGGGAGGGAAGTGGGGTTGTGATCCCAATGTAAAGTGAATAAATAAGTAAATTAATGAAAAAAAATGTGGTCCCCTGAGGACTCTTAAATAAAGAGAAATAAATATACACTTTTAAGCACTGATTTTTTAAATTCTATTTGTTATAACAGATTCAACAGTAATTAATAAAGTTATAGTTTTCTAGTTATTTTTATTTTCTTCTAGTTATTTTTATTTTCTAAGATTTCAAAATTCATTGGTATAATTTATCAACTTTTCTATCTCTCTAGTGCCTATAATTCTGCACATTTTATTTCTCATATCTGACATCACATATTTGAATTTTTTTCTTGTATATCTCATCAAATGTATATTATTTTTGTTTTAGCTATTTTTAATTTTTTAAGGAATAAATATATAGCTAATGTTGAATATTTCCATTATATATTGATTTCTCTGGCTCACTATTTATAGAAGCTATTATTAAGAAATTAATCCAGAACATAGCTTCTGAAACTAATCAAAATTTTAGAATTTGCAGTTTTTATGAGCAAGCAGAAATGGCCAAGATTGTCTGTGATATGCCTTCACCAGTCATTAAGCATTTCTGGAACATTCTGTCAGCTACACAGGTCACCCATCTTTGATAGATAAGGAAAAGATGCAAGGGCGTGAACACCAGGAAGTTAGGATGGGTGCAGCCTTCCTGGAGGATCTTAGTTTTATTCTTATTTTACTGTTTTCTTTCTTGAACTTTCTTTGGGCTTGTTTTGTTGTTCTTTTCTCTCAGCTAAACAGTGCTTGATTCTGTATCATTGGTCTTCTTTTCTACTATGAATGAGTGTAAGAGTCACTTAAGTTGATTGTCAGCTTCTTTTGGGAAGATTTAATTTTAGGAAATTTTATCTTTTCATTAAACTAATGTTTTACACAAGATCCCACTGTGCAAGTCAGGCTGGTGTTAGACTTACAAACTTATTTCTGTTCCCTCTATGAAGGACTGCAGGGATACGCCACCATGCCAAGTTCAAATCCCATTCTAGAATCGTTTCCATCTTCTGTTCTAAAACTTCTTTGGCCCATGGGGTTATTTAAAAATGCTATTTAATTTCCAAATACATTTCTAATACTTTTCCAATAAGGTGATTTAATAGAATGCTTAGAAAATTAAGCCAAAATTCAGTTGATTCGTGACCAGACAATCAGCATACATTATTCTCTTTATTGCCTGCCCAGTATGAAATCAATACTGGTATATGTTCTTTGCGAGTTAGAAAAAATGTGTACCCTTAATTGATTGGTACAAGTTTGTATTATTGTAACTCTACTTGATACAGTTTGCTGATATTAATATCCTACTTACAAATATTTGCACTAATGCCTAATGAATATAATTAAAATCTGTGTTCCATTATGACAATTTATTTGTGTCATCATCCTGTAAGTCATCCTTTATTCAAAGATTTCATTACAAACGCAGTGACCATTTCTCAAGTCTTTCCTGGAAGCTGCTGAAATGACTCTGTGGTTAAGAATGTGCACGGCTTTTGTAGGGGAGCTAAGTTCAATTCCCAGCTCCTGTGCTGAGCTGCACAGAACTACTTGTAACTCCAGCTGCACGGGATCTGATACCTTCCTCTGGACTCTGAAGGTACCGCCATACACAGTTAGCATATACAGACACAAAAATAAAAATAAAAACTGAATCCATCAAAAACCACATCTATGTCCTCTTTATTCAGAGATAGTCCTTTGTCCTGTCCCCCAAGTCTGGGACACATATTCTTTCCCCTTCTCCCTTGTCTCTTCCCCCTCTCTATTGTTCCTTGTTCCTTCTCCCTCTTCTATCTCCTGAATTTGTCCCTTCTCCATCCCTCTGGGGCAAATCTCTTTGTACTAAGAACTTGGTCTTGAGGTGTCTTGAGGTTCCCTACAGAAATGATGGTGGTAATCAGCCACAAATCACTGTTTATTATTTGTTTGCTTGTTGTTTTAACCAAGAAAGGAATGTCTTTGTTTATTGTCATCAAAATACGTTTAGATTTGTCCATTAGTACGTGCCATTTGGGCAAAATATTTTTTTTTCACTTTGGATTTATTGGTGCCAGTCAGCTAGAGGCTGCTTACTACATTTATTGAGTTGATTAGTAGAGAAAGCTTTACATGACTGAAGGTAACTGTCCCAGGACCCTATCCTACATTCAGAGCCATGATTAGTGACACCTTTAATGGAAATATCAGTACAAATAAAATCCTATTCAAAGAAATACAACAGCATAGCATGCACCAAGCTAGCTGATGTGTATGTCAAATTTCCAGAATCTTCTTCCCTGTATGGCAATATTTTGGGGCAAATCCATGTTCAAGTCAGGCTTTGGAGTTTAAAGATGAGAGTTATGGGTCAGGATACATGACTGGAAGATGGTGTCATACACAAGACAGAACAGAGTATAAGAATTGTAAATAGTTAGCCGTTAGCTTCTTTACTAGTATTTACTGCAGAAGCCTCAGACTATCACAGATGTAGGAAGTGATTTTGGTGACTTGTTAACAGTTAAGGAGGGGCACAAATTTAAGTGACTGGGAAACCTAAGTTGTCATAGCCTATACATCACAGCGTATACAGAACATTGGGCATATTCAACCAAGCAGAACACATGGGTTTCTGGTTGCCTTGCCATTAACTTGATTCTTGATTTCATGGATATGATAAGTTTCTATACTCCTTTAGTTTTCGCCACAAGAAAAGCAATACACACAGTCACTGGTAATTGTAAATAATTACAGTTCTACTTAGCATACAAATTACTATTTTACTTCTCTCAAATATAAAGATGTTTTAGGAATACCTAGAGTTCACAGTACAGAGCTTTGTGAAATATACTGCCTATGAGCATTTTCTTATGATACACAGCAGCCACGGTGCTGCCCTGAAGCACAGAGCCGTTGTTCAAATACAGTGTGCTCACCCTGGGGTTATCTGACAAAGAATCCTGGATGCGTAGTACCTGTCAAGAGAAGATCATTCATTAGTACGCTGTCCAGGAAAAGCTATCTAGAGATATTTTCCTTCCCACAAATTCTGGGACTAATGCATACTTTCAGAAACCAGTAAGCTAAAAAATCTGAATTACAACTGAGAGGTAGTAATACCCTAAGAGCATCTATACACTAAACTGGACTACATGTTACCATTAGTCATATTCCTTCATAGAGACCTACAGCAGTTTGATAATATAGGCATCCCTAGAGTAGAAACATGGGTCCCATAAACACTTGTCTAATTCCTGAGTTGCCAGTAGTTTCCATCTGTGAATGTGCCATTGACTGAACCCATAGCATGGAGAAAGAATTTCAGGACAAGATGACTAAAAGACACTCAGTCAGCTACCCTAACTTTGTAGTCAAGAGAGTGACCATCCTGACTGCTAGCTGACCCCATATCTGAGAGGCAGCTAAGAAACAGAAAGCACAGGAGTTTGGAGGCACCCCTGCCTATTCTGTTATTGATCCCTAGGATTAGCACACCCAGCTTTGCATAATCAGTAAACACATATGCTCTCAGGTTTCCAAGTAATCTGGATGAAGTTCACAGGGTGGGGGTGGGAGTGGGAGGACACAAAGATAGGAACCCAAGGAAAACAACCAATCACTGAAGCAACGGTTATCTTTATTGATCTCTTGCAACAGAATGAAACTTTGGATTTTTTTTCCCTTGAATTTTTGCTTTCCCTTTAAGCACCAACAACTTTGTTTTGAGTTTGATATATGAAAACCTTGAGGCTTGGGTTTCATGCAGAAAGTACAAGACTCTACTGAATGGAGAAGGGTCATTAATAGTGGTCAAGTAAGTCTTATCTGGAATAAACTTGTTAACACTTGAAAATCGAGAACCAGATCTTTAACAAGTTTTTAATTACTCCAGTGTGCTGGTTGGTTTTATGTCAAATATTAACACAAGCTAGAGTTATCTGAAAGGAAGGAACCTCAATTGAAAAAGAGAATTCCTCTATAAAATCTAGCTATAGGGAATTTTCTTAATTAATCATTGATGGGGGAGGTCCCAGATCATTGTGGGAGGTGCCATGCCTGGGCTGATAGTTCTAAGTTCAATGAGAAAGCAGACAGAGCAAGCTATGGTGAGCAAACCAGTAAACAGCACCCCTCTACGGGCTCTGCATCAACTCTTGCCTCCAGGTTCCTGCTCTGTCTGAGTTCCTGTCCTCACTCTCTTTGATGATGAACAGCAATATGGAAGTGTAAGCTGAATAAACCCTGTCCTCCCCAACTTATTTTCATCCTGCTGTTTCATCACAGCAATGCTAGCCCTAACCTTAAAAGCAGACTCTGTGCTGAGCTTCTATAGGGGAAGCTCTGTCTTAACTAGGAAGGCAGCAGAATGTATATCTGAATAAAGATGGGTAGCTGGCTAGCTGGGGTAATAATTCTTCTAATTCCAGGCATAGATTATGCTTCTGGAATTAAGAAAATATATGTATATTATTTATTAGATTATATTATTTATATAAATGTATATAAATGTATATAAACACTATATATAAATATATAAAATGTATATATATACACATATATATATTACATCTTGTATATTTTAAATTTTGACTTATTATGAAAAGAATCTAAGGATTAAGTGAGAATAGGTTGACTAAATAAATCTCAAAGTCCAAGGGATTGTTCTATGTCCACTTGAGAGCTTCCATGTTATAAAAGCCAGATGTTCGCTGCAGGATTTTTATTCACTGGATGAACATTGTAGCTCTTATTTAAATTCCTGCAAGATAGATCTAGGATTTCTATAGTACATACAATAAGAGCTGTATCCATCCAAAGGCATTTAATCAGGTTGTCTTACATCTTAAAAAAAATGGTTTAAAAGAGATATCTATTACTTTCATATTTGATGTACTTTTATTTATTTTATATAAATGTAGATGTAAAAAAACTAATAATGAAACTACATAAATATATGTCAGGCTTTAGATAACTATATAATAGCAAAAGTTGGTCTACTGTATTGAAACTTATTATTATGTGTTATTTCATTTTTTGAGAATTTCATACATAAATACTGTATTTACATCATTTCTACCCTTAGTCTATGCAACCCAACTCTTCCCATCTCCCTCAGTCCCTGTCAAATCCATGGTCTCTTCTTGAATTATTAGTTATACACCCACTCATACCCTGCTGAGTCTGTTTGGTGCTGATGCCCATGTGTTTAGGGCTGACCACTTGGGGCTGGATAACCTATAAGAAGGCTTTTACCTGGAAAAATGGATTCTTCTTTTCTCAGTAGCCACTAGTTGACTTTAGCTCTTCATCTAGGGGGGGGACTCTGTGACATTTTCTCCATCCTTGCTGGCATATCAACTGCTGTTGTCATTATGGGAATCTTACTTGTAATGTCTTCTAGAGACTACTGGGAAACTGCACCCATAAAATGTCAACAATATGCAACAATATGCTTCCCTGAAATATTTCTCGGTGGTCTTTTAAAGATAGATTTCATGACTGATGCATCAATTGCAAAGAAAAAGAATTAAAAAACAGCCGCACCCTTCAGAAAGAAGTGATCCAGCCTCCGTGAGTGAACAGGCTAAGATTTGAATCTCAGTTTCTCAACTTGCCAAACAGGTCACACGGTTCTGCAAACCACACCTTCTATTCTAACCCAGGACGTGCCATGCCGCTGCACATCAATCTTAACCCTCTTCATCTAACTAGGCTGTGTTGTCCTATACCGCTTACCATCCAGACTTCCATTTAAAGTCTGTCCTTGTGTCCCCTAAGAATGGAAGCCTTGCATGGATTTTCTAATGTTTGTTTAAAGTTTTATTTCATAGTTTATAATTTTTACTAAGCATGTGTGTTTTCATGAGCCCAGGGGCATACAGTACAGGCACACACATGACACATCACTTGTGTGGTCAGAGGAAAACTTTTAGCAGTTGGTTCTCTCCTTTCATGGTGAGACCCAGGATCAAACTCAGGTTATAAGGCTTATGTGGCAAGTGTTTTACTGTCTAACTAGCCAATGTATGTTTACTTTCTGATATAGTCCAAGTATTAAAACAATATCCAGCAAAATGTAATCGTGACTAGTAAGTCTTTCCAAATATCTGTGAAAGAATTTGTCGATGCAGCCAAGTTCAATGAAAATTTCTAAATTGTCACTATTATTTATTAAACTTAATGAAATATTTAATGCAGTGTCTTATGTAATTGGTTTGAATGTTACAGATAATTCAATGGTTTTTACTTTAGAAGATATACTTTAAAATAAAACAATCCTTAGTACTATCATCTATTTGAATTTTAGAACAAAAATCCACTTGCTTCAGAGACTACAGTCATTTAAGTGAATGAAGATAGTTCTCTACATTTCTCCCTCTCTGCCTCCCATGTAGGAGCTTCTAAGAACTTGCTTTCTAGCTGGAAATACAGTAGGACAAATCTACATCAATATGAATTATCAAGGTCATTTTTCCTCATTACTCTCAATAGCACAAAAAGCCCCTGTGAAGTTAGAACCTGCGGTCGGGCAATGATATTCAATTGGCCCCTCGTGACTTCAAAAATGTAGGAGCCTTATCTCTCTAAACTGTCAATATATTTTTACATAAAGATTTTGTTTGGTTTTGAAATATAAATGTGACCCACATGAATCCTCTTAACATCACCTCAGTGATATTTTTACTCATGTAGATTTCCATGTTAGTCCAAGGAGATATTGATACTTACTTCTGATCCTGGGGGATCCTCCGGGTTATAGATCAAGAGCTTCATGGGGTTAGGATGGCATCCTGCCAAAATATCTCCCGTGGCTGGATCAACATTCAAGTTATCCACTAAGGTGCCCAGCTGAATTACCTTCAACAAATATGAAGTAGTAAGGACATTGTCTCATTGCTCTTTTCTGCCCTCACTGCCTCTGGCTAGCTCTTCCCGACACTGGACACTAGTATTTCTAGGGGCTTTGTGATTGGCCCCTAAAAGTGTAAATAGATGTACATTCTTAGAAGCATCCCTGGGTCAACTGTGAGATTAATGTATGGGACCTTGCTGTGTGGGTTGGCTGGGGTACTCTTACCTTCACTGGAGTTAAATCCCAATTACCATGTTTTTTCATTATGTGAATGTTCTTAGCTGTTACATCAGCTACATAGACATACCTGTAAAGTAATACTTACGCTTAAACACATAGTGATGAAGTGTGACACTGTGTCTTATATAAAAACTCACGCTAGCTTGAAGAACCACTGTGGTGCCTTTCTACAATACTACAAAAGTAGAAAACAGAGTGGCATTTTTAATATTATTGAAGAGTTTTATAGGCTTTTGATATGAAATGTGATGTGAGGCTACCATTGCAGATGACATTCAAGCTTAATGTCACTGCTGAGGAGAATGAGGAAAGACCATCCGTCCAAGGTTAGAGTTCACACTACCAAATTTAGTTCTTGGGAAAACAATGGGGTGGCCAGGAAGCTCAATCACACTCATGTTTTAAAACACAAAGAATGCTAAGAGGCAATTTCTTTTCTGTAGTTTTTGTTTTGTTGTTTTTTGTTTGTTTGTTTTCTTTTTTGAGAATGGTCCCACTGTAGCTTTGGCTGTCCTGGAACTGACTATATGGCCTCAAAAATCACAGATATCCTCCTGCTTCTGCCTCCTAAGTTCTGGCATTAAAGACATGTACCATGACATCCAGCCAAAATGTGTGTTCTACAAAGATCACCTCTATTTATGATCTCAAATCTAAATGTTGTCATTCAAAGTATATCTCTGTTCCAAAAGCTTTTACTTCTTAATCATTTGCCAAGGATGTTTGCTTTCAAAATTTCATGCTTTCTTAAAAACAGTCATGGAATAATCCTAAGTCTGACAGCTCTGCCATCACGTATCTAAGGCGAGCGTCTCTCTCTGATAAGACCTTTCAGTTAGCCTGACCTTATTCATGTGGTTAAATAACTTTAGGGCTCATAAAGTGCAGAGATATTGAATACTCATCCTGCTTTCAGATAGAATGTTGGAAAGGAGTATATTTAGTTATTTGGAACAAGGGCCATATTTTTGGGTCTTTCTCTTTCTACTGGAGGAGGCTTGAAATTCCAGAAAACAAAGGCCTTTTAGGATCACAAATGTAGTATAAATTGTGGACACACATGAGCCCTCCACTCACATACTGACAACTTGAACCTAAGGGATCTTCTAAGGCAAGGATCTCTTCAAAGTATCAAGGGCAGAAAAAAAAATCATACTTTTGGTCTAGTGAGACTGTGATTCCATTGGCAGAACTAAATCCTTGGGCCACTACTTTGACCTCTTTTGGGCTGTAGAAAAGAACAGAAGTCCAGTGAGGGTCCAAGATCATTTCCAGAAGAACCAAGAAATAACTGGTAAAGTAGCGATCTCTTGTAGCATAGAACTGCTCTGGCCCAAGAACGACAATGTCATTTACACTAGAAAGAAAAAGAGTGAGAAACCAATTAGGTATTTGAATATCTTGATTATTGACAAAGCTACTAATATCTACCTAGATCAACATGTTCATCCATTTTAAATGGTAGAGTTGAATTAAGACGAATTAACTAATCCCATAAAATGTTCAGATTTTACTTCCATGTATTTTCTTTTGTCTATTTGTGATTTTAAGTAAAAAATGAATATGTTTATTAACAAACTCTAGATTTGTAGATGTCAATGATAATTTTCTGTGACACATATAGTACCTTACTTTTTCCTTTAGAATTAGGCTTAATTGTAAAAGCTAATCTCTGTCATATGACTTGTTTGGAACAAAATAAGATGTGGCTTTCTTTGCTTGTGTGTATTCATGTGCATATTCATATATGTGTTTGGGGAGAGCAGGTCAGAGATCATGTTCAGGTGTAGTTCCTCAAGTCCCATCTACCTTGATTCTTGAGGTTTCTTGCTGGTCTGCAACTTCTCATGTAGGCTAGGCTGGTTGACCCATAAGCCTCAAGGATTTACCTGTCTCTGTCTCCCCTCACTCAGATTACAAGCATGTGTTACCATGCCTAGCCATTTTTCTGTACTTGAGTTATAAAGATCAAACTTGAGTCCTTATGCTTGTAATAAAAGAACTTTACTAACTGAGCTATCTCTCCTGGCCTTGTGTGTGATTTCTTAATGAAAGAGCTGGAGAACCAATGAGTGATCCATTGTATTTTCATAACAATCATATTTTCTGAGAGTCTATTGCTCTGTCCTCCTAGGATCCTAAGTGAGGACAATAGAACACTAGGCCATATACACCATATACAGCTTGAGTGAGGAAATCAAATAGAACCGTATAACTTCGAGGCCTAGGCATTCCTTCCTGTCATTATCTCTTAACCAAGTCTACCTTGGCATTTACATTTTCTTTTTTCTCTCTTTTAAGAAAGCTTTGATTTTGTAACACAACCAGTGTCATGAATGCATGTCCATTTTAGAAAGGAAAGTATTAAAATGTGACTTGAAATTTAAAAAGAAAGACAAAAGATTTTTATTTATTATTTGTGTGTTTGTGTGTTTGTGCATGCATACCAGTGTCCATGTGTGTGTGCATGTGCACGTTCATAAGCTCTCCAGTACATCTGCAAAAGTGAGTGTGCAGAGGTCAGAGGACAGCTTGCAAGAATCTGTTCTCTTCCTTCTACCATGTACGTCCCAGAGATTAAACACAGGTTGTCAGGCTTGCTGGCAAGCATCTATACCTACTAGGACATCTCATGAACCCAAAAGGTTTTCTGCTGTTTGTTTTGTTCTGTTTTAAACAAATAAAATTTTAGGAAAGGGAACTTTGAATATATCTGAAAACATTTTGCAATTTCGTGAAGTTTCCCCTGTTGCTAGCCTATCCCTCCTTCACGACTTGGCCTGAGTACCCTTTCTGCCAAAAGACCTTGAGTGACATCATAAATTACATTCAAGTCCTTGCCTGGCACCCTGCATTAAGTTGCCTCGCAGTTTCCTCCTGTGAGACTCTGTTTTGCCCTTTATACTTGTCGCTCAATGTGTGTGTTATAGCCCTTCTCAAACTCCTTCTTAGATCCTCACAGCCTCACAGGGCTCTTTCCACTGTCAAGAAGGAGCAAATTCAATCAGGTTCCCACAGGTGTCAGTTTTCAAAAAGTCACAGCTATGACCTCTTGCATCCCACTGCAGACTTGTCGCTGTCAAAGCACAGGATATCACTGAGTTTGACTTGCACATGCACAAGTGGACAGGACAAGAGTGAGAAGGTACTCCTCGAGGTACCTTTAATTAAGGAGAAAGGAGGTCGAAGGATAAACTCTTCTGTCTTTCTTATCTTGGTCAGATCATTGTGAAACAAGGCTTATGTTTCCTCTACGAGGTCATCTCCTGATTTCAAGTGGTGTCAACTGCCCTTAGTAATGGGTGACTTGACAAGGAATCTCTATATCTTCCTAATGTATGTTTCCTGGGTTTGTCATAACAAACTACCATCAACTGTAGGGATTAAACAACAAAAGTTATTCTAAAACAATTCAACTTAGTAAGCATATGGAATTGGGGAGTTAGAAGAGCCACGTTCCCACTGAAGTTTCTGTGGAAAGCTCTGTTCATGGCTTTTCCACAATCAGGTGACACTCCCTGACCTATAGATCTCTCACTCCAGGATTGGGAGAGTGTCCATCAGTGTGTGCCATTCTTCTGTATTCATCTGCCTTCTTACTGGATTATGGATATGTCTTAGTGCAGTAAGGCTTCATCTTTAACTGGGAACTTCTAAGCAAGGTCACATTCTGAGGTATGTGTGGAAAAAGTTCAAACATATGTTTTAATATAAAATTTTAGAAAAGTGAAATTTGGATGACTTGGAAAATATTTTCCATTCCCTAGAAATCCTGTGAGGTTCGGATCCACTGTGGCCTCGGAACCTAGTGACATGCTTACTTCATAGAAGAGAAAAAAATATCTCTTACTGTTTAAGCCCCGAAATTGACTATCTACTAAATAATATTAATTTTTAAATTCAATAAGAATGATGTTGACCATTGTAAATTAAGAGTTTGGCTTTGGTGGACCTGGGCTTATGTGATGATCACGTCAACCACAAACTGATACAGGCAACTAACCTGGCCCACAACTTCTATGAGACTCAGTTTACATATGCTTGCAACTAAATGCTATGTGAAAATTAAGTTAAATAAACTATTTTGACATAGCACTTGGCACACAATCAACACACTTAACATAATTTTTATAAGTTCCCACAGGTTGTTTTTATTTATTTATATATATATATATATATATATATATATATATATATATATATATATTATCTAATTCTTCTTTAAAGAATTGGGTATAAAGAAATAAACCATCTGGAGGTTGATTATAATACCCAGTGTACCGGTAAGACTCAGAGAACACAACCTACCTCGACGATTGGCAGAGGGAGTAGGTGTTTAAAGAGAGCACAGTATTGAGTTGCTGTGGCAAAGAGGTTGGAATAGAAGCTGGGGATCTAATTGAGCACCTTTATAGGATTAAAGGGCTTTCAAAGAGTTGGAAAATATAGAGACATTCAATACTGAACACAGCCATTTCTACTGAGGTGCTGGGCAGTCCCACCACGGAGGCTTTAAAGAATTGCTTGCGAAACAAAAGCTGAGAAATGCCTGCTGAACCAAAGAAAGTAAGGCGCACAGCAGAGGTGCAGAAGAAATGAAAGTACTCATGGCTTTAACTCCATACCTCTTGAAAAGTTCGTGTTTGATAGTTTTCAGGTGGATGAGAGAGCGCTGTTGGTCTTCAAACTTAAATATCTCCACAGTGGAGTCCATGTGGGGGTGATTCACAACATAAAGATACACAGTGTGGTCTAAATGTAAGGGGGGAAAGTTATAATTTCCAAGAATGTTAAGCTTCTTACAACAGTTATTAGATGTCTTTAAAAACCTGATCATCTCCCAAGACTTTGGTTTTTGTCTTGAGATGGAGTCTTGCTCTGTTCCCAGGATTATCGTGAACTTCAAGGCTCCCACTCGTGAGTTGTTGGGACTACATAGGCAGGTACTACTGTGAAACAGTTGCTTTTATGGACCTTGCCTGTCTATCAGGTAGGTCCTTAACACCAATGCTAGATGCTTCTGTTTTTGAAGAAATTGACATTTCAATAGGGGGGTAACACAGTAATTTTATCAACACAGCAATTTTACCAAGCAATGGTGCAAAGCGTGAATGTTTTTGTAATGGTCTCTGCAGCCTCACTAAGATACCCTCTCTAAAGAGAAGAGACGGAACTTCAGTGGTAGGCAAACATATATCATTTCTCCGGATGGCTTGTCAGTGAGCAAATAATCTCTGCTGAGAAATTTTGGGATGTGTCACAAAGGTCTACATTTCAACAAAGGTTCAAGAAACCTCAGGGCATGCGACTGCTTTAAAATAAGCTCTTTCCCAGCTGGACAACGAACTTCTAACGCAAGTCAAATACCTCAGCTGAATGACATTTACTGAACTCAGTGGACTTGTAAAGTAAACATGCCAAGAAAAGCAAGCCAGCTAATCCTGGGCATAGACAACCTCAAGAATGTTCCGAGAGACCTCTTTTCACTCTGGAATGTGAACTGCTGTGAAGAGCATTGAGGGTGGTGGCCTTTACTGACTTATCAGAAGGTGTAGGTCTGAGGTTTTGAAGGACTGGTCTGGTCTTGTCGTCTCACCATGAAATTTGTTCTGTATCTGTTGTTCCTGTTCACTTCCTCCGTGTAATTACCAAACAAGTAACAGAGCAGGTCTGAGGCCAGGCATACAAAATTTAGACTCAGGGCCCCTGATTATCTTAAGCTGTTCCATGCAGATCAGGTGGAAGTGCGCCCGACAGGTGCATCTTTCCTTTGGCCTGATCTTGCTGCAACAGAATGTGGGGTGGATTTTAGGTCCTTTATAGACACTTTGTGGAAAGCAGTAGGGTAGGTATCCACTCTGCCCTGAATTAACCCAGTCTTAGGTCTCCACTGGCTCTTCCTTCCATAGTAGAAAAAGATGCTTTATGAAGATCATTTTTGTTCTATGCCTCACTCTATCCAGACAGTTCTCCATGTGACATTTTGGTCTGGTGAATTTATTCTTTAAGGAATAAATAAATAAAATAGGCTGTCAATCACAGTGCATTAAATATCTGGAAGCCTAAGTACATGGTTGGCAGTTAATCCATAAGCCCATCCTATCTTAGAATATTCAGCTCCTGATATCCCTAACTCAAATGTCCTATACCGTGAAATAGCCTAGGTTAATCTGATTACTCTATTACCTCAGCTCTCATTGGAATGCGTTAGCCAGAGCAGTGTCAGGCAAAGAAGGTGTGGCTGTAGGGGATTAAGTACAATGTGCTTCCCTAGGTTTACCGAACAAGAGATGCAGGATAAATGAAACCACCTGGCTTCTAACTCTGACGCAGCCATTTATTCACTCAGGAAAGTCAACCCTGTATCACATTTCTCTCAACTCCAGCTTCTGCATCTTATTAAATGGAGTATTAATGTAAGCTATCCGATGCTGCAGCATCCATATTCACTTGCTCACCGAATACCTGTTTGGTCAGTTCCTATTCTGTCTCAGTCACTGTTCTGACTCTCAGTTCCCAGTAATGAATGTGTTGCATACATTTTTATGGTGAATATTTTTAGAGAAGAAAACAGGAATAAAAACTGGTAGGTAGAAACAAAGAACATTGGGCAGGGAGATACCCTCTTTAGCTATACAATGACATCCCTATGTTCAATAGATTCACAAGTATATTACATTTAAATTAGTTTGGAATTATGGGCTATAAACAAGCAAAATGTACCAGAGCTTGCTATTTTCAGAGTGGATAGTAAAAGATTTGTTTCTGGGGTAGTTTCTTGAGATCTGAGTTACATGCCATTAAATTGAGTCTTACAAAATGTAAAATTTATTGCATTTTGGTATATTTATAAAGCTGTGTAGTAATAACCACTACCTAGTTCCAGAATATTTGCATCAGCTCCCATATAAATCCCCCATCGTTTAGCTGTTTCTTTCCATTTGTCCTTCTTCCCAGTCTCTGCCCAGTGACTGGATTACTCCGTGTGGCGTAACATGAGTGTCATAGCGCACTACCACAGCTCATTCTTTCTACTGACAAATGGTGCTCTATTGTACAAATTATGTCCCATGTCATCAGTTAACAGGCCTATGAGTACTGGGAGAAAGGTTGATATGAACATTCATGTAGGAGTATTTCTGTAGAAGTGTTGCCAGGTCTGCTGATCACACACCGGAGGGCAAAGCCGCTGCATCGCACGATGACACCATACTTCGAACTGTCACCAGCAAAGGAGCCCAATCACTCCACTTCTCCACATCTTTGCTTACATTTGTTATTACTTCTCTCTCTCTCTCCCTCCCTCTCTCTCACTCCCTCTCTCTCTCTCTCTCTCTCTCTCTCTTGCACACGTGTGTGTGTGTGTGTGTGTGTGTGTGTGTATGCCCACATTCACATTAGTAGGTATGAAGTTTAGAGCGAGACACTTCATGTCTTCCTCTATTACTCTCTGCTTCAGTGCCTTGAGACAATGTTTCTCACTGACCTGGAAACTCAGTGATTTTTGCTTTTTATTTTTTATTTATTGTTATTATTTTAGCTTAACTGGCTGGTTGGTGAACTCTGATGATACACTTGTCTCCACTCTCAATATTGGAGTTTCAGGAATAAACAGCCATACTTGACTTTTTAGGTGGGTGCTGAGGATTCAAACTAGCGTCTATGCTTGAAGACCAATGGGTAGGCACTGTTAACCCATTGCCCTGTACCTAGCCTTGTGCCCCTTTTATTATTCTCATCCTATGTATATGAAGAAGTGACTTATTTTGACTTCATTTGCATTTCACAAATGGCTAAGATTGTCAAATATCTCTTAACATCTTAGTTGGCATTTGTATACTTTCATTGGAGAAATGTCTATTCAGATACCTGTCTACATTTAAATATGTTGATTTGTCTTTTGGATGTTGAGGTGCATGCTAGATAATTTAGTGTCAACTTGCCACAAGCTAGAATCATTGGAAAGGAGGGAATCTAAACTGAGAAAATACTTTCATATGACCTAACTGTTGGACATTTTCTTAAGTAGTAACTGATGGAGGAGAGTCCACCCCATTGTGGATAGTGTCATACATGGGCTCGTGGTCCTAGGTTCTGTAAGAAAGGCTGAGCAAGCAATAATGGGTAAGCTCGTAAGTAGCACTCCTCCATAGCCTTTGCATTAGTTCCTGCCCTGCTTGAGTTCCTATTCTGACCTATTTTATTAATTGGAAAATAATCCCTTTCTTCCCCAACTTGCTTGAATCATGGTGTCTTTTCACAGTAATAGAGCAGCAATTAAGACAAGTTATTACACGTTATGTCACAAATGTTACAAGTTGTTACAAGTTCTATATACCCTGGAGAAGCTCTGAATCAGACATTCAGATATTATTTTCCAGATATATTCTGACATTCTTTGAGCAATTTTCCACTTTCTTGGCAGTATTTTGGTACAAAATTGGGGTTTCACTTTCTATGATTCCAATTTATCTTTTTTCCCTTCTGGTATGATTTTTCCTGTTATATTATTATTTTCAAAGGGTCTTCACTTTATATGGTTGATTTCTTATTTAACCAGGTTATGGGAGTCAAATAAGAAGAAAAGTGGATAACAGGAAACCACTGGACCTCAGTTTAGCTTTCCTTCTTTAGAGCAATGTTTAAAAATGTTTCTTGTGAACATTAAAACTTTTGCAAATATTCCCTACATTTCTTTGGTGGAATAGCCCCTGCCCGATACCTTTAGCATGAATGCTGAGCTGTGGGAATCTATGACGTCTTCTCCTTCCAATTTCCCCTACTCTTAGTCATTTGGGTTGTACCTTTGTCGACGAAAGTGCTGATCCCATGGGGATTCAGTGACTCCTGGTCAAACACACCACTGATTTCCAGTGCTTGTGCCTTTGGGTTTTGCTCATTCAGATCCATCAGGAAGATTCTTCCTGGTTTGTCCGGTGCAAAGCTTGGCATGCCTGGATATTTTAATCCCTATAGAAACAGAGAATCAGTGTACACACATATGCATATTTAAACACTATTTTCATATGGAAGCCAAAATCTCAAAGCCATACAGAAATATTCCTGGTTCTGTATTTCATTTTGAATTGGTGGATTGTTCACTCTGTCAGGTATAGCCATTATCTGATCTAGGGGAGGAACATGGTCAGCAATGTCATTCTTTGGTTGTGAATACAGGAAAAGCCACGTTTGAGAAAAGGAAGCATTTTTAACTTAGAAAGAATTAAGCCACAGATTAATGCCAGGGACCAAGCTGTGTTGCTATCTTAAGAGTTCTTTGGTCTGCCTAGGCCTTGGGGTGCTCTTCTGTAAAATGAAGCAACTGAAACTTAAGATGGCTAAGATTCTTTCCAATCTTGATATCTGATAGTTTCCATTTCCAAAGAGGAGTGTGTGGTTTAATTAATTCTACTGATCTTATCCCTCCACTAGTTATATTATGTAGACATAGATAGTGTCATCTACAAGTCAGCACAGGTGTCAGCATGATAAAGGTTTCTGACTTACTTTGTTCCTATAAAAAATGTCTGAAAATTCTAACTTGAACCTTTACTCCAAGGAGTACAAAAAGTTCATTCTAATACTTTAGACCGTGTCCCTTTCTACCCATAGGACCAAGTGTTTATCAATCAACAATAGCCATCCACAATGTACTGACCCTTTAACACACCCTAGTTCTCTGTATCAAACCTTGAGGTGGCTTTATTTTATCCGAGAACTAAGCAGTTATTATGCTCAGACCTTTTCCCCGTCACTCTGATTTAACTCAATATAGACTAGCTTTCTTTTATCTCTAAGACTGACCTACACTTTCTCCTTTCTACTCTACTGTCTCCCCCGTTCTCTTTCTGTTCTTACCCTTGTAAATACAAACACTTACTGGACCTTCTGTTGCCCCTCACTTTGGGGTGGTTAATTATCTCTGCACATCCCTGTCCACATCTCCATGTTTTTTTTGACATGGTTAATTCATTCTTGTTTTATGTATATGAGCATTTCAGTGCATGTACGCATGTATTCCACATGTGTTCTACATGCCAGGGCCTGATGTCCTTGGAGATCAGAAGAAGGTGTGGGATATCATGAAACAAAAGCTTCATATAGATGTGGGGTGCTGTGCTGGTGCTGAACACTGTACCAGGTACTCTGTCAAAGCCTTAAGTGATACTGACTGCTAAGGCATCTCTTTAGCCTCCTTGAAATCTTCCTCCTGTAAACCTTTTACCTCAGTGCTGTTGGAAGGAGGTCTCTGAGGCCATGAGAGGAGTCCCAGGCATTCTTTAGCTTCCTTCCTTCACCACACCTGAAGGAAGGATGGGCAGGGCATGACACTCAGACTCTGTTTTAGGTCCAGATTCTGTTCTCATTAAGTAAAGAGCCTCTCTGAAGAAGCCACAATGCTTCTCTCTTTGCCCTTTCTTTGCCTGGTCAAGCTCTTAAGGAGGAGATCCTTCCTCTATCCTCTCTACACACAGTCCCTCCTGTCTCCATCCCCATCCGCCCCCAGTCCACAGAGACAACTGGAGTTTATGGAGGGGAGCGTTTTCTTTAATTTTTCTTTAAGGGTATGGCCCTTGGTAGGTCAATCAAGCTCCACTGGGTAATCCCACATCAGTGAGTATATAGACAGCACAAACTGAACTCTGTGCTATTAAAAACAGGGGAGAGGTGGGAAGTTGAGAAGGGTGGAGATATGAGGATCAATTTGGGGAGAATTGGGGAGAAGAGTTGGAGTGAATATGATGCAAATAAATCTGTATGAAATTATCAACATATTGTAGTAAAGACTTTATAAGGAGACATCATCACATAAGCTATGATGACTATGAAGGAAAGAGGGAGTTCTAAAATCACCTTGAGGAATTCTTAGTATGTCCCTTCATCATCTGGAAGTCACCATGGAAGTTTCTTATTCACTGCCATAGACACTTCATTCTGTCTTCCACACATGTATCCTAAATGTGTTTCATCTCATAAAGTCCACATGTCATTCTGCATAACTCTGAAAGATCCTTTGCCTCCTTCCTCTTTGGAAACATCATGGCAGTTGATGTAAATTGCCTCTGACTCCTTTCTGTAAATGACTCTTCAGTTCTTCTCTTCTCCCTCTTTTCTTGAGGATGAGACACCATTCTACTGTTCTGCTAAGTCTGTCACCTCATTTCCTGATCCATTTGCCATATGATACTAACCTCCATCTTGCTTTATTCCTTATTTTTCATTAATAACTTCTTCTGGGACCTGCAATTTTGTTCGTTTCTCATTCCTCAAAACAATCATTTTTCTTACTTTAAATATGTATCTATATTTTTGTTTCACCTGAAATTTCTCAGAGATATCACCCAACCTTTTTACCTTATTTACATGGACTCTCCTTTCTCTGGGATTCACATTGTACCTCTAGTATTTTGAGGAAACACAATCTCCACAGAACATGGTAACAGTCTCAAAGTGTCTTCCTTGATAGCCCTTTCTCTATCAACAGTTGTGTGGGCACTGAACTCTATAGTGTGCTGCCTTCACTTATGTCAGAAAGTCGGAAGTAGAGGTCTGAGATAGAATTTCTGTCTCTCTTTCTGCCTCTTGGATTTTTCTTTCATCTGTCCTTAGACCCCTTTCCTCTCTGTGCTCTTTCCTATAGCTTTCAATCATAAAGCTTCAGTTATTTCATGGCCCCCAGTGATCCTCACATACCCATGTTTACTCAGAACTTCTTTCCTCATTTCCTCCTACGGTCAGCTTAGGAGAATAGACAAGTAGACTTGTCAAAAACCAGTCAAACACATCTATCCGATCCTCTGATCCTCCCTCTGGTGGATATTTACTCTTCTCAGTTAAGGGTGTCGCTGTTCCATTGGGCCATAAAATTCAATCTCCAGTTTCTCTGTCTACAGCTAATTTGTCAGTAAGGTGTTTGGATCAAAGAACAGCAGTACTAAAGGAGGAAATGTTAGGAACATCAAGGCATTTGTCTGAATCATTCATTGTCCAGTCCTTCTGCCATTCCATAAATAAAAATAGAAAGGGGTCTCTCTCTCTCTCTCTCTCTCTCTCTCTCTCTCTCTCTCTCTCTCTCTCTCTGCTGTGTGTGTGTGTGTGTGTGTGTGTGTGAAGGCAGCTTATCTCTACAAGTACCGTGGCATCAAGGAAACAGATGAGGACACTGTCATCAAACAAAGAAACCAGAAGTAATAAACAGGCAAGATTTGACAGAATCAAGAGTAAGGCATTGGATTAAGAGGGCCAAGGAAATACTTCTGGAAGAAAAGTTAGGTTTCTCTTCCTGACATTCTGTTGGATTACAATTGGTGACTGCAATCTTATTGGATACCAGTGACATCGTGCAAATCTATCCATTCTACTCATCACTGGAAGCAGTGACAGTCACTTTGAGGCACAGGCTTCTGATTTTCCCCTATATATTGCAGGTATGTGTGGAAATTCATGAACCCCTCTACAGTCAGTCCTTACTCATCCTCAGATTTCATATGTTCAGTACTAGGCTGGGTGCCTGGAGTGTTAATGAATACTCCAAGTCCCCAACTCAAGGAACTTAAAGTTGAATGAGTTGCACCAAGAACATATCAGGATAGGGTGGTACCTAGAATAGATAGCCCATCCATATCCAACAATAGAACCAGGGAAGGCTTGTGGAGGAATCTGAGCACCTTCACAGGGAGGCTTCTCTAAGAACTAGAAGTTAAACTGCCGCTCTCGGTCTTAGCGCCATCTTCCTTGAGACTCCTGCGCCATGAGAGCGAAGTGGCGGAAGAAGAGAATGCGCAGGCTGAAGCGCAAGAGAAGAAAGATGAGGCAGAGGTCCAAGTAGAACCCCAGCTTGTGCACCCACGAAGCCCGCGGGAGCAGAAGTGAGGGATGCCGAAGGCTCGGGACACCGGGGACGAGCTGTTGGGACTGTATGCTGCTGTCGGTACTAAGTGTCTGTAGACCTGGAATGTCAACCTCGTCGAGATCACCTAGGAAAATGACTGCCTTTCTTACAACTAAAACCAGTCCCGCTGGCCCTCTGCCCCGGACCTCTGGCATTCTGGACTAGTTCTGTTCTCTTGTGGCCAAGTGTAACTCGTGTACAATAAACCCTCTTGCTGTCAGCTGAAAAAAAAAAAAAAAAAAAAGACAAAGTGTGAGAATGCGAGTAATCTTGACATGCAAGAAGCATGTCAAGTCTCAAGGTTAGGCGGGGAAATACCCTCTTTGTCACTTTACAAATGCTAAGAATATCTATCTGCCTTGTATCTCTTTCTGAATCTGCAGCTTCTGAACATTGTCGAGAGTGGCAGTAAGGTCATAAGAGAGGCCAAGGAGAATAAGATAATGAATGCCGGAAGACTAGAAACAGAGCAAAGAGCATGGTCCTAAGTTCCAAGCAGGAGTTGCCAGTTTACACAATGTCTTCTTTTTGTTTAGCAATGACTTGGAATCTCTGCTGCCAGGGGGAAGCATAGAGCAGGAGCAACAAATGCTTCCTAACAGCAATGACATCTCCTAACTCTACAGAATAATCACGTTTGCAGGTCTCTTTGGCACAGCCCAGAAAATCAAACTTGACAATAGAAAATTGGGGTAAAGGAAAAAGAGACTTTTCCAGACACTTTTGTTTTATCTTTGAGTTTGAAGGAAAAGTAAAGAAAGACAATCCTGCCTCTCGCTATTTAAAATTCAACTGAGATCTCTGTACTATACTTTGCATACTTAAGAACCTACACATTCAAATCATGGTACCTATAGGATGTCTTTCTTTGCACCAAACATATTTAGACTTCAGATTCATGTAAGTTAGTGGTATGGAAAAAATGGAATATTTCACATGCAATTCTATCAACAACAACACATTTCAGACTGAAAGTGTGGTAAATCCACTTTTTAAAAATCTTAGACCCCAAGCTCTGGACTCACTGAGCTGGTAGGGTTCCTGATATGCACACATCTCTGGCTTCAATCTTTAACAGATTCCACAAAAACGAAACCAGCAGATCTCAGACCCTATTCCAATGTGCTATTGGCTTGACAGGTACATGGAAACCTTCAACATGTGATAAATACATTATTCTTTCCCTTTCCTTCTTTCTTTCTCTCTCTCTCTCTTTCTCTTTCTTTCTTTCTTTCTCTCTTTCTTTCTTTCTTTCTTTCTTTCTTTCTTTCTTTCTTTCTTTCTTTCTTATTTTTTTTTGTGGTTCCCAAGCATAAAGTCTTGGTCATTTAAAACTTGTCAAGGTGGTGGTATAGAGAACACAATAAAGTTTCTTCTCCACTCATGGAAATACACTGAAAGGATGGTTGAGAGCCCAACTATTGATTTTTAAACTCATTAACATTTACAGAGCTGCCCAGATAAGCAGGCATGGCAAGAATCCTGGCGACTGAGAAGATGACTACCACACACCGAGGTACCCCCCAATAGGCCAGCTGAGAAGCAACAAGGCAGATCTGGAGATCAGCCTGAGATCCAAATGGACATCAATACACATTTATGGAGAGAGACCCTAACCGAGCATGCGGCTGACCACAGGAAGCTGCTCACATGAGGCAGCTAGAGTTAGGCATGCCTGTGGTGCTCTAATTAGGCCTCCAGATTGCAGTTTGGCTTTTGTAGTTGACTGGTCTACCCAGAGGTGGGATGAACATGTAGGTCCCCATCTGGCATCTCGAGCTGGAAACTTTAATGCACTGTCCACACAGCTATTGATGTGAGCATCAGAGTGGTTGCCAAATACTCACAGTGGAGATAAAAGCCAGCCCGCTAGGAAGTATATCAATATCTTCAGAGCCATTCTCTGCAAAACACAAAACAGAAAATAATCACAAAGATGCATATGTGGAGCCGCCAAAGAAGTTCAATAGCCCAAACTTTTGAGTTCTTTTGGAAAATGCACTGACTGTTTCAACAATTTACTTGGGAAATTATGATAACGTTCAGAAATCCCACAGGCATAGCTAATCTTAGAATACTTACATCTGACTCTAAAGGCATTAAATTCTTCCTTAAAAATCCATTTTTTAGGAGAAAAGGGCAAAGCAAACTATCCTATAAAAATAAAATCATACCCTAGTTTTATTCTTTAAATGACAACTTGCTGGGCATATACTAAGAAAAACTCTGTTATTCTTCACAGAAAGATTGTTCCTCACTTACTGAATGGAACTATTTAGTCAACTCTGAGATGCTTCCCCAGAAGCCTCTCTGCCAAGTGTTCTTCATTCTACAACCTGTCAGACCTAAGCATGTACAATCACACTGAGAAGTTATTGAATAGGCACTCAGTAGGTGACAGTCATGCTTGGAACAGGCTGTGGAGAATAGTTAGTTTAATTAGAAAGAGTTGAGTCAGATCACCTCCTCCTTAAGAGTCTTGAGTATTTTTCTGTGCAAAGAAGTATTCAATGAGTAAGCATGGATGGGCCAGAGGACAGTATCTAGTAGCGAGAAATCCTGGTAAGACATGGGAGTGAAGCTGACTCTGGAGGTGATAATTATCTAATATGGCTAACTAAACATCAGAGCCACCTCACTGGGCAATGTGATCTTTCACACTCTTCCACAGTGAGGCAAGGTCTGAATTCTCTTCCCTAAAGCCTGAAGGAACGTTGACCTTGTCTTGACAAATGAAGTGGGGTAAATACGATGCCATGTGACTTCAGAGGCTAAATCTCACAGCCATAGCTGCCCTGGCAGTCTCTCCCTCCATCTCTTCTTCCTTGTGTTCTTTCTTCCCTCCTCTTTCTCCTCTCTTTTCTCTCTCTTCCTCCTCCACTCTCTCAAGGATGTGCCCTGAAGTAAAATACAGAAGTCTGGTTATTCAAAGCTACAAAGTGAGGGATGGGGAGAAAAGCCAGGGGATCCCAAGTGGCTTATTACCAACCTGTGAGTCATCTTTGCTAGTGCAAACAGAACAATTGGACTTTCTTCACTAAGCCCTGCTAATATTGTAAGAAAAACTAACTAGAATTTTCTTGTTTGTTGTGAGACAAGGTCTCCCTAGGTATCCCAAAAGGACCTTGAACTCATGATCCTCCTGCCTCAGCCTCCTAGAATTACAGGTGTGTGTCACTATGTCCTAATTTATTGTTCAATGTCACTAAATGAGGGGATGTCTCTTACACAGCCACAGTAATTGGAACACATGGGAAATGGTTACCTGGGGGAAATGGATTACTAGTTTGTCACTAGGCAACTGGGAGAGAATATGGGTGGATATGGAAAAGAAACTCAAGACAAAGCCAAAGTAAAAGTAAATTTGAACCAATAGAATGGCGAGCAAGAGGTGCTGAAGATCATAAATCAGAGAGGAACTAATCCTCAACTAGTAATGTGAAAACTAAATCAACCAGAACTTCTGATCCCTAAGCATTCTGGTCCATCAAGAGTTACCTATCTATGGTGCCCAGATGGCTGGAAAAACTTGATGCTATTTCCATATGGAGTGAAATACACACTGGGAAAACCCACACATGGAATAAAGTCATTCGGCATTGCAGGTTTGTTACTTCTTTGGTATTTCTCCCACCTCTCTGATTACCCCTTCTTGGTTTCCTGTTGCCTTTATCTCCCAGTCTGCTCTGAAGATAGAACAAGGTCTGTCTGCCCTTCCTTTGTTTCTCAAGGCACAGCAAGCAACAGCCCTGACCTGTGCTTTCAGTTGCCACCCACCTGCTCTCGATTCTCTGATCTGCATCAAGTCCTTCTTGCAAGATCAGATTCCTACAATTATCCAGTGCTGAACACACAGCCAGGTTTGTCACGTTCAACGGGCTCCAAGAAGATCTGGACATTTCCTTCCTTTGTCTTTTCCATCTTTCAGTGACAATGAATGGCACGTCTCTCCTCAGGTTCCCAGAGTAGGAAACCTGGAGCTATCTTTACCACCTCCCTTTTCTTTCGTCCCCTGAACCTTCACTTATTTGTCTTATATATTCTTCCAGGTTTCTACAATAGGTTCTTTACAGGCCAGCTTCTTCCATAGCCCATTGTCTGTGCCGACATCTTTCTAAAGTGTTAAGCTGACCCTAAGGTCTGCTAGAGCTAGCTGTACAAATCCTTGGTAGAGTTCCAAATCCATCCACATTTTGGCCCAGGCTCAGTTCCGTTTGATCCTGCCCTCCTGGTGCTTCCTTGAGTAGTTATCCTGCTAGAGTTATTCATTTGTACACACACACACACACAGACACACACACACACACACACACACACACGTCTTCCTCTCTTTCCTGGTTTAACCTTTCCTTTCACCATCCTCATCCCTAATGGGCTACTGGGCATGGGGCCACAGCTTCAGCTTGTCAAAGCTTTCGTGGGTTTTGCATTCACCTTTCTATGCAAATATTGTTGCCTGTGGGTAACTCCAGCATGACATTTTTCACAGTGCTCTGTGTCTTGCTTATTAATTGGCTATTAGCCTGAAAGCTTCCTGGAAACAAGGTCTGGTTTATTTCCATGTTGTATCTGTGTATTGCTCACAATACCTGGCTTTTCAATGTAGACAATTATGATGCAAGCTGTTTAACTTAACAAGTGAGCATGTTAGCAATGTGAACTTTGTCTTCTTTTAGAATTAAATGACATGATTATAATATCTGAGTACAGATGTCCGGTTTATAGTGACTTGAATAGGAGATTTCACCTTTCCGGTGACAAGAAAATGAAACACATTCAGGAGAAACATTACCCTTGATTCTGACTTCCGATTTTCACAGTTCTCATTAGAGTTTGAGCCATATCTCCAGGGACTGCACCCAGTCATGAGGGAAAATAATGTACTTTCTACAGAGATGCTCTGAGCAGCCCGCCTAGGAATGTTTCCATGATAACATCGCCCTATCCTAACAGGTAATGATCAGGGGTCCTGTGGTTTTTATTGCCCCCTACTACCACACCCCTGCACCAGAGCACATGGGGACTGATGCTTTGCTCTCCAAGGTATAAAAGCACCATCAACTGGACTGACATAATTTCCACCCTCCCGTACCCTTCACTCCATGGAATCTAAAGGACAAGTCCCAGGCATCTCAACAGCAGGGAAAGCAGTGGGAGTAAGAGGTCCAGAGCCCTGCTTTCTGAGTTCTCCCTCCTCTCCACCCTGCCAGTCTGCACACAGCTATAATCAAAACTCTCAGGTACATCTCTCTTGAAGAATCCAACCAATCAATCCTACCAGGTCTTGCCATCACTTCAATAATTTCATCCTTTCTTTAATCATTCCTTATAAATACCTCAAGACAATGCCACTCCAGAAACGTACTATATGCAATTTTATTATTATCGTTTCATACCTTGGGAGAAAGTTTCTGACTGTCAGCTGAGTAGATAAATGCAATTCACTATGAAACAGCAGCGCATCTTAGAGACTGGAAGTCACTGGAAGAAGAAAAAGCTGGAAGGCACCAAATGCAACACTGCAAATTTAACCCTGACTGAAGAAACCCCGAATTCAGCAAGCTCTCATGTAGCTTTGCGTAGATGCCAAGAGATGCCACATAACTTCCTTGTTAAGACAATTCTCAATCCCCATAGGCTTGGGGAAAAGGCAAAGTTAGTACAAAAGGAGGGAAGCAAGTGGCATTTCTGAAGGAAGAATGATTTTATCTTCCAGTCCTTCCTGTAAGAAATCTGTGGAGCACATTTACAATCTCAGCACTTGGGATCACGAGGCCGGAGGATTGCCAGGAGTTGAGGTCCAGCCATGGCTACGTAACAAGACTGTATATGAGTAAAATCAAAGGAAGAGAAGATGAGGAGGAGGGAGGGAGGAGGGGGAAGTGAAAATAATCACACAAAGAGTTCCCCCCCACACAATGAATTAATGTCAAAAGTTTGGTTTCAGCTGGGGCTGGTAGCCTAGGTCTGTAATCCCAGCAACTTCCAGGACCCAGGCAGGAAGATAACAAGTTCAGGACATGACTGAGTTCAAGGCTTCCTTTCAAGGCTAGCCTGGGCAAGTTAACAAAAGCATGAGTTGAAAAAAAAAGCTAGAGTTATAGCTTAGGCGTAGGGTGCTTGCCTTAAATATACATGAGGCCCTGGGTGTGAGCACCAGTAAAACACACACACACACACACACACACACACACACACACACATGGCTAAATATGGGAGGGGAGCACAGAAAAAAGAAAGAAAACTAAAACAAAGGGACAACTTTTCTGCTTTTTTTTTTTGTAAAAAAGTACATATAACAAGAAAAAGAAAACACAAATTCACATCACAAAATAAGCTGTCTTATCTCATAGCCATAAATAAAGTCTTTGACCCTGGGGAGTTTATAATCTGATAATGAAAGAGAACATCAACGTCAGGTCAGAAATAAACTATGTGGTAGGCGTGGAATTGAGCCCGGTTTCAGCATGCTGAGAGTGAGGAGGAGAGAAGAATCTGTGGTCGACTGCAGTACTCAACCATGGGGGAGAAATGTCCTAGTGGGGATGAGAAAGACGGAGGAGCACATTCCCACTCCTCTGACAGTGAACAGACTGGCTAGATTGTCATTTTATTTTCTGGTAGTAAAACTGGAGGCTTGCAGTCTAAGGAAACACTACTTCAGGACCAAGTAGATGTGGTCTGTGGGCACAGAGGAGACTGCTGCCCACCTGCCTCCTGTGGGAGCAGGAGGGACAAAGGGGAAACCAATGGTCCTGGGGGGGTGGGGTGTTAACAGAGCGTCCAGAAGATGATGCGCCACACTGTAGTGAAGGCTGTAAGGGCCAGCTGTGGGGAGAGAACCCACAGAAGGAGTGTCAGGGGTATCAGGCTGAGGCCAGTTATGTCTGAATCTAAATAATCAAAACTGGCCTGGGAGAGGAGGGCCTCCGGTTTTTGAGGCTGGAGGTCTGGCTGCAGAGTTGAGATTACTAATTTTGAAAGAGAACCAGGTGGGCTGAAAGTTTGACTATATCTCAGAAGTGCTTTCCAGAAAATGGTGAAGGAGAGGATACATGAGTCCTTGAGCAAGAGGAGGAGTAGGAGGGGGAAGGGAGAGAGAGAGAGAGAGAGAGAGAGAGAGAGAGAGAGAGAGAGAGAGAGAGGGAGGGAGGAGGGAAGAAATAAGTGAAATTCATCAGATGATGGAGAAATGCCCTTCAGGAGACAGGCTGAGAAAAGCCATCTAGATGATGGTCTGTGGAAACTCCATGGAGTCTAAACATGGGGAGTCTCTGAAAGAAGTCCTGTGTGTGTGGAAGCCACACCAAGAAGTAATACAGAATTAAATAATTTGGTAAACTCAGGGAAATGATGACCAAGAAATTCTGCTGCTTCCTCTTGGTCCTGCCATATACTTACCGAGTCCCTCAATCAGGTGGCAGGTCTGCGGTTCTGTGGACTTTATTTCTCGAGATGTGCTAACTTTATCTCTGTAGAAGATAAAAATCAATATGAAGAAACTGACATGGGGGGGTCATCCCAATTAAATGTCTGAACAGACATGGAGGTCTTTCAGTCACTTTCTTGTTGTGAGAATCATGGTGCTTCTTTTCATGGATGCCATATGCAGGCAATGCCTCTGGTTTATAGTTATATAAGATGTCTTACTGTAGGCACAGTGCCTACAGAAGCTAACTTCACAGTTATTACTGAAAGAATACAGCAGAATTCTATATGAAATATAAGACCCTACTTAATGATAGGCAGACCCGAACAATATTCTTCATTTAAAGGAGCAAAACAGCTTTACATCATATTCTTAAATATTACCTATTATGAAACTGTACTTAACTCCTTTCATATTTTCTTGGTTTTGGGTTTTTTTTTTTACTTCCTTCCTCCAGTAGGGAGAAAAAAAATGCAAACTTCTTTGAGATCTCCAAAAAGCTGAACTGTTACCTGAACTTGGTTCTTTGCAACTAAACTAAGCTAATGCTGACTTACCTTAGTAATGTCTACTTTATGGACCTGACACTATTAAAGGCATTAGTCAAAAATAATTTTCAGCACAGTACTCTTATTTTTGCAGTGAAAGAGTCTTCTAAATACTAGGTAGAATTTAAAATATTAATTGAACTATATTCAAGAAGACTGAAGTTAGATGTATCTTTCAATCACTTAGAAAAATTACTGTTTAGGGTTACTACTGTAGCTCTAGGGAGTGTGTGTGTCCCATCCTTAAATTTACTACTTGACGATTCTGCCATTTGTTGTTTGGGGAGCAAGCGAGACAATGAGCACTCCCAAGCTGGGCTCGAAAGTGTTGCCAACAGACATCACGTATCTGAACAGATTGCAGCAGCAAACCTCTGAGACTAGTCTCTCCTTAGAGAAAGAATAAAAACAACTCGATGACAAGCAAAGACCTTAGCCCCACGTAGCAATAAGGAATAGATGTATATATAAAGTTTTTTCAGATCAAACTGAGAGTTTGCTTGGGACAGTAATTCCGGGATAGCTGTCCCTGCCGGATCTTCTACTTCAAAATGCCAACCACTCTCCAAAGCCAGTTCCTGACCGCGGGGACTCAGCTCTCTTCCCTGTTTCCTGGCTCATCGTCCAATGTGGCACAGGTTCTGTAAGGGCAGCACTTTCAGTGTCTGAGTCAGCTGTAAACACCCAGCTGCTAGTCGGATCCCCTCCCCCAAGTCCAACACTTTCAAAAGACTTCAGTATTTCACAAAGGCAATGTATCATGTAGCGGAAGACCTGGAAAAGGTACCCAATCTTCAGAAATCAAATGTGGGCTTTCCTACCCTGGCAGCCTAAGAAAGGCAAGCAGTTGTCCCCTTTCCTAAGAGTGAGTCTCAAGAAGTTCACTAAGGACTGAAGTCCCAAAACTTCTCCTTTCCACCGGCTAGGAAGTTGGAAGCAGGTCGGTTGTCCCTCACAGACTGGAAAGGAAAGAGAGCTGAAGACATCTCCATGGAGATATCCACTCACCTAAAATTCAGAAGCCTTTCCCCTATTAAGGCCAAGCTGACCCCCAGCAAGGTCAGCGCCACTAGCTTCCCCATGGTGTCTGGGTGCCTTGCAGCAAAAAGCGGAGACTGGAGCTACTCCCCGGGTGCCGACGCCTGGTCCCGCCCACTGCTCAGTCCCCGCCTGCCTACACCTCCTGGTAGGTACGCTGTCCCCTTCTAGCAGTCTTGAGGCTTTTACTCTCTCCTGCTCCAAGGCTCAAGGCCACCGCCACATGGGGGGCTCAAAGCCACCTGTCTGCTTGAGTTTCAAGGGACTTTTTGCTCTTCTTTTTAGCGATGGTTCAAGGCCACTTTAAGGTGCAGGTTCCAAGGCTGCCTCTCCAGGCAAATAGTTCAAGAACACATTTCTACCTAGGATTCCGACCTCATAAGACTCTAGTCCTAGACGATGAGACGGTGACCTTTGGCTAAGGTCAGCCAAGCTTCGGACCACTCTAGTTTGAACTCACAAGTTGGACACAGCACAGGGTGGAAAGTTTGTTTCTTAAAGTCACAGAACTTACTTAACCTCAGCTCCTCCGGTGGACTGAGGTGGGCCAGCTGCCTGGGAATCCAGAGTTCATAGACTAAAGCTTCAGGGTTCTGGCAGGCTGGATGTAGGAGGAGAAAATGCTCCTGAAACACCCTAAAGGACAGAAAATACTGAAAGCCAAGCCCTATGACCATCGTTCTCTAGAGCTCTGAACTTTGGCTCCGGACCTTCCTGGTGCCTTCAGGGTGCTAGACATGATGAGAGTCCACGTTCATCTGTCTGGCAATCTGGAGGACGAGCACAATGTAGTAGTAGTAGTGGCAGCAGCAGCAGTAATAATAAAGACAGTAGCTTTATGGCAGTCTTACTCTTCTGCAGAAGTCTTACCCTTCCGGTGAAGAGCACACTTTCCTTTTAGATAAACTGTATTTTTGTTGGAGAAACTGAAGATGGTCAGACCCTTGAGGAGTTTAGGGAATTCTGCACCTTCCAGGATCATCTCTTTTTAGTTACTAATAGGAGATAGCAGCTGTAGGATTAAATAAAAAGGAGCCTTTTTTAAAAAAATAGAAAGATTTTATAGGAGTAAAGATATTAAGAAGGTAGTACTTGACAGGGCATACCTAAGTAAAATGTTGAGTGATGGACAGATGACATGGCACAGGTAAAACACACTTACTGCTCTTGCAAGAGGTTTCAGAAAAGATTATGGCATTCGTCGTTTATCAAGAAATATCTTGGTATCAGGTAGATCTCATTTTGTCCACCATAGAGTGTGCCAATCACTTAAGTCTTTCAAGAGTTTATTCTCAAGCTGGCCAAACACAGAAAAACCTGACCCGGGTCCTGAACCCAACTCTCCGAGACTGGGGCGTGAGGATGTTTATAGGATAAAGAAGCCAGCGAAAGCTACATGGAAGTAAGAGCATCAATAGTCAACACATTTATCCGTCTTCGTGGAACACATGACCGTGCAGCCTTTAGAGCGGTCTAAGGGGAGAGTATAGTGCTCCCTCTGCCAAGCGTTCTGAAGACTGTGACTCAACTCCCAAAAAAGTCTGGGACTTTTCATGGCCCATGCATCACAGGTGTCACCTACAGAAGTATTACCGGGAGATCAGTATACAGCTGCATGTTTGGTCAATGTTATCAACTTGCAGCATCACCTTGGAGAGATCAGCCGAGCATGCAGTGGATTACGACAGGAAGACTGAATGTTCAAAGCCAGGCTAGGCTTAGATACTCTAGTGAGATGCTAGGTTTTGTTTTTAAGAGAAGCCAGATTTGAGGGGAGCAATTACATTACCCTGGGATTCCATTCTCTCAGTACTTTGAATGTCTAAAACTTCGCTTTGCTTTCTATTCTAATGAGAAGCACAATTCCTTGAGCTACCAAACGCTACTAAGAGTTACAGATCTGGGAGCACAGGTCACGAGTGGGATGCTTTCCTGCATACACGAGTCCCTGAGTTCAGTCTCTAACACTGCAAACTATAAAACTAAGAAACCTGAAAATTTTTATTATTAAAAGTTAGAAGTTGAAAAAAAATATATATTTTTTTTACCTATACAGAATCCCAAAGCTGCTGGTGGTTCAGCAGTCAAGAGCACAGTACCCAGGTTTGATTCCCAGCACCAAATGACAGCTTACAAGCCCCTGTGACTCCAGGCAGGCCCAGGAGATATGATGGGTTTCATGTTTTGTTTTGTTGTCGCTATTGTGTTTTTTTGTTGGTTTGTTTTTTGTCTTCATTAATAGTGTGTACATAGGGTACGCGTGTGTACCTGCACAAAAATGCTCAAACACACTTTAAAACAAAAATAGCTCCCAGTCATAAGAAAAGGGCCCACATCTTTAAGAAAACCAAAGACAAGAAAATTCAGTGAAACATAATACAACCCGCTATATATCTAAGAAGGTATTTTATAATTAATTAATTCAGATAATGTCTCATTCTATATCCCTGGCTGGCCTGGAATTCACAGAAAGCCCCCTGCCTCTGCCTCCAGAGTGCTGAGTGTAAAGAGTACACCCCACCTCACCCCCAGCTAAGGGTATTTAAAGTCACTTGTAATAAGAAAATGAAACTTAGACACATTGGAAGGAAAGTTTTGAAAAGTAAGAGCAAAAAGCAAGAGGGTATTATTGTGAACACACACACACACACACACACACACACACAGAGAGAGAGAGAGAGAGAGAGAGAGAGAGAGAGAGAGAGAGAGAGAGAGATCACTTCTTCTCACACGCACAGACTCTTACCTAAAAATTCTATCAGGAATGAAAAGTGCAAGAAGCCATAGGAAAGCAGATGAGGTGGACTGGGGTCTGTAACTTCTCCACTGCAGGTGATTGCTTTAGGCCAGG